GATAAGACAGAGTAGGGGGCCGGCCCAGTGGCGCAAGCGGTTAAGTGTGCGTGCTCCGCTGCGGCGGCCTGGGGTTCGCCGGTTCGGATCCCGGCGCGCACTGACGATCACTTGGCAAGCCATGCTGTGGCGGCATCCCATATAAAGTGGAGGAAGACGGGCACGGATGTTAGCCCAGGGCCAGTCTTTCTCACAAAAAAAAAAAGACAGAGTAAAAAGTTATTAAGCAAATAACAGCATGTGCCACAGAGGATATGGAAAAATCAAATGGTGTTATACAACTGACAAAAGTTAAGGAAATGTTGCTATAGTGTTTAACGGCCCAGGCTCTGGATTCAAAGATCTGGCTTCAAATTCAGACTGTGTCACTTCCCTGCTCTGGATGAAGTTTCTACCTCATAGAGTGACTGTGAGGATTAACTGAGTGAATCATGTAACTCAGAGTCTGGCTAATTCTTCAAAAGTTCTCCATCGCCTTCAGAAGAGGGCAGACCCTTTGGCTTATATAACCCTCATGATATGGCCCCTGCTAAAGTCCCCAGTCTCATCTACTGCTCCCTCTTCTTCCTCAACTCCAGACATCTTGATCTCCAACATTTCGTATCCTGTCTTGGCCCAGGTCTTTTCCACGCTGTTCTCCGAGATTCCTCCTTCCTCCTGGCTAACTCCTAATCGTCATTCAGGTCTTAATCCAGACATCACTTCCTTTGAAGAAACCATCCCAGGCCATCAGGGCTGGAGGAGGTACCTGCTGTGGGTGCCCACTACTTCCACTGGGTCCTCTGCACTAGCCCATCCCACACCACGCTCTGATACCCGTGGCCCCACCCCAACTGGGAGCTCTCCTTCCTGCTTCCCCCTCCCAGAGCAGGAGAATCCTAGTGGGTGAGAACTGCAAGGCCCTTACAGACCATCCAGTCTGCCCCCTCAACTAGACAGGTGGAGAAACTGAGGCCTGTGCAACAGTAATAACCACTCTGAGGGCTTACCATGTGCCAGGCACTGTGTGGTGTATTTTACAGCTGCCCTGCTAGGTGGGTATTATCCTTAACCCACCTACCAGTGACGAAGCCCCCTCAGAGATGTCCAACATGAAATTCTGCCCATTGAACACCTCCTTATCTCTGCTGAGAATTGTACACTGCCTTTGCCCGTTTTCCTACAGCACTGTTGGTGTTTTCTTCACCAATAAGTAAGATGATATATATAAAGACCCTCTGCCTGCCATGCTACTGCAAATAATTTTTTTCTGGTTAGAATGACTTAATCTAGCTCTGTTTTTGACACACTAGTTCCTAATGTCTATTTAGACAAATGTCTGCCTTTTCCTTGCTTTTAAGTTTGAGATGACCTCCACTACCTGAGATTTCCCTAAGAAGAAGAAAACCTGAACCTCTAACTCTCCCTCACCAAGCACTGGCAGAGACTCCCCGGGAGCCGGGCCCGGTGCTAACTCCACCCGCGATCACTGAAACCTCACAGCAACTCGGGCGGTAGGTGACAGCCCTGTCCTCGGTTCATGGCGGGGAAGCCGGGGCTCGCCCGGCGGCTGGTGGCGGCGGGCGGTGGGGACGCATCACTGGCCCGTCTGTCGCCCCGGGGCCTCGGAGCGAGCCCGCTTGGCCCCCCAGCGCGCGGCGCTCCCCTGCCCCGGCGTCCCGGCTCGCAACGACCCGGGAGGGGAACGAGAACCCCCTTGCAACACCCACGAGGGTGGGGGCCCGAGGCCGTACGCGGCCTCCAGCCTCCCTGCCCCGCCGCCGAGGCGACGACAGCGCAGGCCCTCACCGAGCCCCGCCTCCGGCGCCTCACCTCCTGCAGCGACTCCGGTACCAGCGCGGGCACGATGGGCCGCTTCACGCCGCGCTGCTCCTTCTCCTTCTCCCCGCCCTTCTCCTTCCCATTCTCCGCGTCGCCCTTCTCCGCCTGGGTCATCACGGCCGCCGGCACCCACCAGCTTCTAGTCTCAGGGCTGTGCCGCGACAGCCAGACGACAAGCGCCCCCGCGCAGGCGCAGCCTCCCCGCCCGCTGCCCACAACCAAGATGGCGGCCGGGGAGTTCCGGGACAGTGGAAGGGCGGGGCTACCCTGAGGGGGCCGCGGGCGGGGCGGGGCGGGGAGTGGAGTGGGTGGATGTTGCTGTGATTGGTTCCGGCTGTAGCAACCGGCTAGAAACTTGGTTTTTGTTTTGAGTGTTTACCGCGGACCAGCCAATAACTGGTATCTCATTTTGTCCTCACACCTGGCCCTTCTGGATTCCCAGACACCATGCATACTCCTAGTTGTCCTCATACATGACTGGCCGTGCTCATCCAGACGCGGATGTTAGTGTTCTCTGGAGCTAGGTCTCCTCTCTACACACTCCTTGGATGACTTTATCCAGTTTCATGGCTTTAGATATGAAGAAACTTCCAAATATGTATTTCCAGTTTGGACTTCTTCCTGAAATCCAGACTGATATATTTGGAATTTTCACTTGGATGTCGACAAGGCATTGCAAACTTAAATATGTCGAAAATGGAACTTTTGATCCTCCTCCCGCCAAAAGAACCCTACTCCCACTTTAACCATCCCAGTAATATCACTTTGATTCTTCAGTTGCCCACATCTTCTACATCTAGTCCATCAGCAAATCCTGCAGTCCCTAAAATATATTTTGAATGCATGCGCTTCTCCATTCCTACTGCCACTACCCGGTCCAAGCTACTATCATCTCACCTAGACGACAACAGCCTCTGAACCGGAGTTCCTGCTTTTAGTCTTGTTTTCCTGTGATCTGTTCTTCAGACAATTGCCCAAGTGTCAAGTTGTTTTTTTGTGTGTGTGTGTGTGAGGAAGATCAGCTCTGAGCTAACCTCCACGCCAATCCTCCTGTTTTTGCTGAGGGAGACTGGCCCTGGGCTAACATCTGTGCCCATCTTCCTCTACTTTATATGGGACACCGCCACAGCATGGCCGGACAAGTAGTGCATTGGTGCACGCCCGGGGTTCCGAACCCGGGCTGCCAGCAGCGGAGCGCGCCACTTAAGCGCTATGCCACAGGGCAGGCCCCACCAAGTTTTAAAATATTATGAAGTAGTTAAGACAATCAATAGCACATACCCAGCACTCCACTTAATATTACTAATGAGTTATCTCAAACAAAAATTAAGCCCATGCTTTAAACTCTGTTTCCCTTTGCTCACGGAACAGTATCTAAACTAACCACAGCCTAAAAGGCCATACTTAATCTAGTACCTGCTACATTTCTAGGTTCACCTCATACCTCTCTCCTCCCTCCTTTGGCATTTCCAGCCACACAGGCTTTCTTTCAGCTTCTCAGACAAACCAAGCCCTTCCCATCATTCGGCTATTCTCGTGTCTCAACTCAAATGTCACCTCAGAGACGCCTCCTCCAGTTATCCTCTTGTCATTTTCTTTGCAGCAGGAATTGCCTGTACTTATGTTGTCTGCTCACTATTTCCCACACTAGAAAGAATGCTCCATGAGAAGACTCTGTCTTATTTGCCACTGTTCTCTTCAGCATATGGTTGGTGCCCAATAAACATCTGTTGATTAAATACTGCTCAGTGAAGAACCCCTTGAGGAAGGAATTTAATCCCCATTTTACAGATGAGTAAACTGGGATAGAGTGACATAACTCACTCAAGATCATAAGCTCTTGAGTAGTGAAGACGAATCTGAGCACAAGCTACTCAAGAGGCTACATTCTGCACTACAAGAGTCCACCTCACATGCAGAGTGGGACAGCTAAATGTCAAATGCAGTCAGGACTTGAGGATAAGCCCTAAGGAAGAGTCCTGCAGCAGCAGTTGGGGGGTGGGGATGGGGGGGAAGATCATGGGTCACATGCAGAGAAGCCATCACCTACTGAGACTCTGCCCTTGTCTCCCCCACTGCAGCCTTAGGTGGAAGTTTGACAGACTGACTCCACCATTCATTCACTAGCCATACTATCTGGGATGTTACTGAACTTTACCGAGCCCTTGTGTGTGTCTATATAATACAAATATCATCTACCTAACTCAGGGTGTCAGAATTAGCAGTACGTAAAAGATAAAATGTCTGACACAGACTTGAGTGATGGGTGAACTTATCTTCATTATCCTTATCCTTAAACTTGTGTTATAATTGCCTCTTTCCTTATCTTTGAAGACCACTGTCTTATGTCACTACATCCCCATTTCCTGGCAAACAGGGTTGAATAAATACTTACAAATAGACATAAAAATGCCTTTACCTGAACACTTGGTTTCAAAGCCTGTTAAACACTGGAAGTACAATTATCTGTTTTATTCATTTTTCCAATAAATATGTCAGTGCCTATTACATGTAGTCACTGTTCAAAGCACTGGGGTAAAGACAACAAAATCTCTAACCTCATAGGGCTTCCACTATACTGAAAGAATAAGAGTTATCAGCATTCAGATGTGGTTAAAGCCAACAGGCAGTATCTTATGCAATAGTTTAGAATTCAAATTTGTCAAGATAGCATTGAAGTCCATGAATTTAAAGATCATCTAGCAAATCTTCATTTTGTAGCTCAGTTTTGTTGGTTATGGCTTTATAAATACCCTGATAATTATATTTGGTAGCAAATCAGACATGTATTAAAGATTCATGGGACAAATGTTTCAAGATAAAAATTAATTCAAGAGGACAGATATTGTATACATACTATTGAAATAAATACAATGTGATTTATTTATAAACGAGAACAAATTAACAATCAACTATTTCAGAAGTTGAAAAAGAAGACACTGGGCCAGCCCTGTGGCTTGGTGGTTAAGCGCGCGCGCTGCGATGCTGGTGGCCCGGGTTCGGATCCCGGGTGCGCATCGAGGCACCGCTTCTCCGTTCATCCTGAGGCTGAGTCCCACATACAGCAACTAGAAGGATGTGCAGCTACGACATACAACTATCCACTGGGGCTTTGGGGGGAAAAAAAAAAAATTTAAAAAAAAAAAAAAAAAAAAAAAAAAAAAAAAACAAAAAAAAAAAATACACAGCCTTTTATTTTTCTTTGAATTTGGAGTTTTTGTGTTTTAATTATATAAAGATGAGAAATCAGTTTTGTAACCTAAAAATATTTACTTATTAAAACTATACTAATACTTTCATAAACTATACAAAAAGGACAATGAGACAAACATATGCATTTTCAGAACTGCATGTCAGTCATGCCAGATCCCTGTGGAGGGAATTCCCAGCACGACCTCATTCATCTGTGAGGACACAGCGCAACCCTTATTTAGACGTACACATCCATCTACTTGTCCAGCATGATCAGCCCTCCACTTCTTGATGGTTTCCTTCTACTATGAATGTGCATGCCCAGTTGTCTGCTTCTTAGAGCAGACATTTACCTAAAAGAAAACATTATAATTAGTTACCAGTTATTAATTTGGATCTGTATGAAAAACCCAACAATCATTACATGTTATAAAAACCTTTTTCAAAAGGCACTTGGATAATAAAGCCAATGAATTTTTCAAGGGTTAAGATACAAATATTCTTCCAAATGGTGATGTCTGAGCAATTACAAAATGTTGGGCAACTTCTTTTCCTAAAGAAAACCTTCTTAAGGAGGCATTTTCAAAATGAAATCCCCACAGAATTTCAGATTTTAAGTTACCTTCCTCATCCACCAGCCATTGGAGGAGGACTAGGGCCATGTAGATGATTAATTCGACCCATTCTTCTCGGGGGGTTTCCTGGAGGCCTAAAAAAAGAAAAAGTTAATTTCTACCGTTTAGTAGACATTACTTCAATTGGTTCCTTTTAAACACTCAAATAGACTCTTTTCTTTAAAATAGGAACTACCATTTAGGTCGAAAATTCAAACCCTTACAGAGAGCAGACACATAGTTAGTGCCGAGGAGGAAAGTTGAGTCAAGGAAGGATTGTGATGAACTGAACAGCACCCCCTAAATGCCCAACCGAAACCCAGCTCCAGCTGATTTTTGCCCCATGGAAACATAAGCCTAACCCAGTGCTGCTTGATCTTCTGAGTTTTCCATTAGCAGCTGGAAATACAGATTCTAAAGTGAAATCTCTAAATTTTAATGTTGGCCATCAGTTTTCTTCCTCTAATTTACATATTTCCCATGAGATATTTGATGTATATTTTAGCTTTGCCAGATTAACTCTGATTATCAAATCAGAGGCAACTTGACTTAATTTACAGTAATGCATTAATTTTGTGCAATAGAATTTAAACCTTTAATTTCCATGAGCCTATGTGCGTATCTATCTATAATATTTAATCAAAATATAAAAAGGAAAAAAAATCTATTATTAATTTAAAAGCTATACCCTCTTCCATCATCATATCTGGAATCAGATGAGCTTCCATAACCTCTTCTCTTTTTCACATCTTGCTGCAGCAGAGTTTTGAAACTGAAACAAGGGGCAGAAAACAAGAGAAGTGCCACTGTCAACATATGGTTTCAACAATCATCTCTGTAAGAGGATGACTAAACTGCCTCAGTGCCCAACCCACATTTCTCGAAGCCAGCTAGACGCCATCTAATGCAAGCATGTGTCTAAACAAGTGTGTTATGTTCTGTGCCAAAGCCACCCTTCCTTGTCTTTTTTACTGATAACCCGACTAGACAAAGTCTAGGGATGACTCCGAAACCAGAGTCACCCCAACTTCCTTCCTCCACTCTCTATCAGCTGTCGGGTCCCAGAGTCTGTTTTTACAGTATTGCACATTCATTGCCCCTGCATTTCCCCTGCTGACAGCCTACCTAACCTTACCTTGGGGAGGGAGTGGCTGAGGGTAGTGGCCTTCTGGGAATCCATTTAAATGGAATTTTCTTTATTTGTGGAGGGGAAGAATTGAAGTTAAAACAATATTTTTAATAAACAATATGGAGTAGGTAAAGTCTGTAAGAGACTTTAAAGAAGTTTTGCACTGGGTAGCTTAACTTAGGGCCTCTCTTGTCCCCTGCCGTATTTTTCTATGAAACTGTCTCTTCTGTTTTACCCTTTCTAATTTATGCTACACACAGCCATCAGAGTAATCTTTCTAAACCACAGCTACAATCAAATTAAGTATAAAGATCACAGCCTGATATTCAAACTTCTCTGCCATCTTTCCTATGTTTCATCCACCTGAAATAACTTCCCCTGAAGTCTGCCTCCCACAATCATGCCCACCCAAAGCCCCTTGTAATAGGAAGATATTTACTGATATTAAAGTCAATGAAGGGACTGTTTCCCACATCTTTGCATCTCTGCAGTTCTCTGCCCATGAGACACTCAACTATGTATTCAAACTTAGGATAAGTAAGACTTGTTAGTAGCTATGAACAATTTTTATAAAACAAACAGCATATAAAAGACCAAAAAATGCATTTAACTAAGAATTGCTTGAAATTACGGAGAAGTTTAAATTTTTGTCTCCTCTGTATTGATTCTAACCCTTCTCTTAAAAAAAAGTTCACTACTTGGGAGCTTTTTCATCAAGTTCTAATTCCCCTTGTTCACTTGTATAATATGGAATAAAAGTTGCACATACACACTAAAGCCAGGAATAGTAGAGAGAAAGAGAGGTGCTGTCATTTGGCATTAGCATGGGCAGGCCTGGCTCCACAGCTACAGGTTGAAATGGTTACCATCAAGGCTAAGATATGGTCAACCTTACCAACTCAACTAACATATTCATAATCTCAAGATGTCTGGTGGCAGCTTTACCACTACGCAAGTCTTCATTTCCCTTAGTAAAGCTATTAATAAAAAATTTACAATTAAAAACTGCTTTAGGAAAGCTGAGCTTAAGATATGGAACATAATGTACCTAAGGTACTTCTGTCAACTTAAATATCAGGGCTATTAAGAGCACTCCTATACTTACAACAAAACCACAAACTCAGCTATTCCCCAGAAGAAATCTGTTATGAAAGATAATCTCCATGGGGACTGACTCCGGCTGTCCAATACTTGTCCTACAGGCAAGAATAAAGACATTTCAGTTAGTGCTACCAATCCCTGACACAAGATGCATTACATTTAATCAGTTAGGTAACAATCACAGACTCTGTTTTCAACTTGTCCTTTGTCCCAAATGGTCAACAAAAGCAGAGGTGTGTTATGTGCACATAACTCTAAGGAAGGGTTCAGGGAAGTAAAGCTCTGTGATCTAGGGGTCATACCTTTAATATGTCAAATGCCTTCCTACAGTTTGTAATTTTGGTGGGTGACACGAAGTATTTTTTCTTTTTCTTTATTGTCGTAAAACATACACAAAAAATTTACCATTTTAACCATTTTTAAGTGTACAGTTCTACAGCATTAAGTACGTTCACATTGTTGTACAACCATCACCACCATCCATCACCAGAACTTTTTAATCTTCCTCAACTGAAACTCTGTACCTATTAAACACTAACTTCCCATTTCTCCCTCCCCCCAGCCTCTGGCAACCACCATGCTACTTTCTGTCTCTATGAATTTGACTGCTGTAGGAACCTCACATGAGGAATCACACAATATTTGTACTTTGGTAACTAGCTATTTCCCTTGGCATGATGTCTTCAAGGTTCACCTATACTGTAGCATGTGTCAAAATTCTCTTCTTTTTTAATTTATTTTTTTATTTTATTGAGGTCATATTGGCTTTTAACATTGTGTAAATTTCAGGTATACATTATTATATTTCAGTTTCTGTACAGATTGCATCATGTTCACCACCAAAAGTCTCATTTTTATCTGTCACCATACACATGAGCCCCTTTACCCCTCCTCCCACCCCCTTTCCTCTGGTAACCACTAATCTGTTCTCCTTATCTATGAAAATTTCCTTCTTTTTAAAGACTGATTAATATTCCATTGTATGTGTATACCACATTTTATTTATCCATTCATCTGTTCCTGGACACTTGGGTTGCTTCCACCTTTCAGCTATTGTGAAAATGCTGATAGGAACATACGTGTACAAATATCTGTTTATTCAAGTATTTTGAGGAAAACAAATGGGATGGGTAAATATAAAAGAATGCTCACACCACTTCCATTTTCCTAAATGTGTTCAGAGTATTTCTTTTCTATTGCTTATATAAAAAGATTCTTTATACATAATCTTACAAGTCTTTGGGATCAGTTATAATGATAAAATTTTTATAAATCAAAGAATCTGTGTGCTCTAAGTACCGAGAGAATTTGGCTTATTCATTAAAATGACCACTATTTTTCTATAACAGGATACTGTTGATTCTAATTATAGACTTCAGCTTTATCTTTAGCAAAAATGGATCTATTTTTCAAACTACTTTAAATAATAGAAGCTATGATGTGAGAAGTTACTGCTCTTGAGTTACAGCCTTGCAAATCAAGAGGTCAGAATATTTTGGGAGAAGAGCTGTCAACTACCTCTTCTCTCCATTTTCCTAAGGACTTCATGCTCACCTCTACCCCTCCAGCCAGGGTTTACTTCTCCTCTTTCCTTGACCATCTCGCTTTCAGGTATGATATTCACTCAGCCCTGCGCTCTCACAGAGCTATTGAGAAAAAAGAGCTACACTTAAAGACAGAGCATGCGTGAGAGGCTTGGTTCTGTCTCCTAGTAGCTCTGCTTCAAAGGCTGATGTGACATGTTTCTTCTCTGAAAAAGGGCTAATCATAAGGATTGTTGAAAAAGTCATGACAGTAAGAGAAATGTTTTGTCAACTATGAAGTGCTGATAAATACAGTCCTTCTAAGAAAACAGATCTAATTGGAACCCATCAAGTCTTCCTTTGTGATTCTTGTGTGCACTTGCATCATTCTATCTTGCTTTTTGCACTTTCTCTCCTAGTTTCTAAAGGCAGAAACCTCCCCTCCCAATATCCTCAGAGAGAAATAAGTTCCTTGAATGCAACTGGCATTTCTCAACTATAAAAGTGAGACAAAAGGCCCTAATAGGACCTTTATGTTATTCAGGCAGATGAAATATGATAATGCATACAAAATAAGACACACTACAAATACAAAGAATTATTCAATAACGCACAAATAGAAGCTGCCAGCCTTAACCACAAAGGATAAAACACCAAGTCTGCAAGTGCCCAAAACTAAGATGAAACTTTGATGCTTTTCTTTAGTGTCCTTCAACCTACTTGTTTCAAAGATTTTTAAGTGGGAGATAAGGAAGAGAGAGTACCATTTTGAAGAGCAAAGAAATGTAAAGTGCACTCAGCCAGAAGGCTTCTCACTGACTATCTTGATCATCTCTGAAAATAAACAGATGACTCAAATAGAACCAGGACCTAGTTCTACTGATCCAAGAACAACTCCAGATTGCACCAAGGCATTTATTTCACCTGAGTCCAACAGGTGGGCAGGCAGTTCTGGCATTGTTCTAACCTAGCCATATTGTGTCTTTCCTTGGCAGTCATCTGCTTTGTGGAGTCACTGAATTAGGTCTCTCTCAGATTCTCTATTCCGGGAATAATTAACTTGATTCTAGAAGGCGTGGTGCCTCTTCCTGTACCCCCTGAAATTGGGCAAAAAATTACATGAATACCTAGCTACCCTCTCCTGGAAGAAAAAGCCTATCCAAAGCTTCCATCTAACTCTCTTTACACGTTAAGGAAAGGCGAGCGAGTTGATAAGAGCAAGGAGGCTGACGTCAGCCTACCTCGATTCGAATCCGAACTGAGACATCAACTACCTTTATGATCCCGAGCAAGCTATTTACTTTATCTGCGCCTCAGAGTCTCCATTCATAAAACAGGAAAATAAAATCTTTCCTGAACAGAACTGTTATACAGACTGAACGAGTTGATAAGTGGATTACGCTCAGTGCCCGAGGCATGAGCGCTACGCAGATGGTGTTAACACTATTGCCATTACTAGTTACGAACACGGACGCCCGAGAAGACAGACCACTGTCGCGAGTCCCACCGTCAAGAAGCTCTACGAGGGCGAGGACGCAGGGCACCGGCCCCGTCGTCGCCACGGGGACTCGGCCCCTGCCCGCCGGCTGACGGACCATCGGATGACGCACCGAAAGCCGGGCCGACTTCGCTTCCGACTCCGCCTGACTGACGGACGCAAGGTCCAGGACAGCCGCCACGGGCACCCAGCCCGGCGGCCGAGGATGGAAGAAACCCGGGGTCCTGCCTCCCCGCCAGCGGTCGCCCCCTGTAGCCCCTCCAACTCACCATTCGAGATGTAAACCATCTTGCCTCCGCTTCCCCGCCTCCCGAGTGACGAGGAGGCTGACCCCTCTCGGCTTCCGTATCTCCTCCGCACCCCGCCCTTTAGCGTCACAGCCCAGGATTAGATAAAACGGCGACGAGGCGGGAGGTGGACAGAGCCCATTGGCTGCCGGGGAGAGACGCCCAGACCGGCGTTTTTGCTTCCTCACGCCGGCGACTTCCGGTAAAGTGCAGGCTGGGATTTGTCTTTTAAAGGCGAGCCTTCTTGTGCCTTTTTGGATTTGAGTTTGGGGAGCTCGTTTGCACTGTCCTGTAAAGAGAAGCTGCTTTTTAGCTGTTTGATAGGCCCAGGCTTGGGGGAGGCAAGTCTGGTGCCTGTGGAGGGGCTTGGAGAATCTCAGGCATAAGAAATTCCTCAGAATTTTCCAGAAGTGTTGACATTTGAGGACGTGGAGGGAAGTGCCTTTCGGGCTGAGGCGGTGACCAGACTGGAGGGAAGTTTTTTGTCAAGCCTTTCGGACTCCACATGTCACCGCCAAATAGGGGTCCTCTGCTCGCTGCAAAGACAAGCCAACAATCCAGAGGCAAGGTGGTAGGAGAGAAAGGGTCTTTTTATTACAGCTTGCAAGGGGGAAGATGGTGGACTAGTGTCCTAAAGAACCATCTTAAAACTACAAAATTTTGAAGCAGTTATGTAGGGCAACCAGGCTGAAAAGAGGGGGGTCTTGGAATGTGACCATCGGGTGTTGTAGTCTGTGAGATGCCGGATCATCCCTTTTTCTCGTCAGCGGTGATGGAAACCAGCATAGGGCTCCTTTCTGGAGGTCCTTAAGTTCCTGGGAAAACTTAAAGAACAAAGGTCCTGCTTTACGGTGATAGGGAGGTCTATGTATAAGCCAAGGCTGAGAAAGTGGCAGAGCATGCATGTTTCTCACAAGCGAGTGGGACTTATCCAGGTGTCGGGGGAAGAGGGAGAATCTCCCTCTGCCCTTTCCCTTAAGGTTCTTCTGGCTGGCCAAATAATCAACAAGACAGGTTAGTAGGAGAAAATAATACCAAGTTTAATAACATGTATACATGGGAGAAAGCAGGGACACTGCATTTCTCAACACAATAGCAGAAATTCTCGTCTTAAATACCATTTTCAGCCAATGACAAAGGAGGATTTTGGGGGTGGGGGGAGTCAGTTACAGGAGATTACCACTAAAGCACAGTAAATAAGAGTAAGGTTTATTATGCAGCCCAAGGCCTCACATTCCACATTGATAAGTCACTAAAAATGAGCTCATCCCCCTCTCTTCTCAAAACAGAGAGGGAGACACCTTTACAAATGGAGATTTCCCTTATAAATGTAAATGATTGTCTGGCAACTCCTCGCAGGGTCATCCAGAGAATGTGGCCAGAGAGACAGAACTTCTGATATGAGGGGCTTGTTGGTGCCTTTCCTATTGTAACATTTACCCTGCGTTATCTTTACAGCCATCATGATAGATCTGTTCCAGGAAGGAGCCACCATGTCAAATTTTTTAGGCAGTTAGTGGGGGAGGTGAAATGTCCCTAGAGAAAACAACCAAGGTAAAGAGATAGATTTCAGGGTGGCCAAATCTTGATCTCCCACACAGGCTACCTGCAAACTAAAGCATTGCTGGCTCAGCAAAGGGGGTATCTTGTGGATCAGGGTCATTTATAGTTCCAACATGGTTCCCCTCTATAAGATGGCTTCCCTTATGCTAACTTATGCTACCTTTGGCTGTATCTATCCTAGTTATTTAGGCAGCACTAATACGCAGACGGGCACCTTTTGGATGTGTTTGTTTGCTTTTAAACCAGGGTTTTGGCTCTTGGTTCACCAGAACTCACTGGGTTTTTTTTTAATCAGCTCTTGCAAGGCAACTGTGAAAAATAAATACTGCAGCACCAGACCTTTCTCTGCTTCTTTGTTATTGATGGCCACCACATGCCAGCATTGTAGAGGTGGCAGGTGAATAAGAATCTCGCTTGGTCATTCATTAGATAGCGACCGCATACTATGTGCTGATGTGTGTTTACTCTGCTGCTTCCATTTAGTCCTAATGGCTGCTTTTTTTTCAGTTCTCAAGTCCTGTCATCTCTGAAAGGTTCCCAATCACCTTAACTAAAATGAAACTGAAAATTACATTTTGGAAATAATCATATTTTGCATTTAACAATATTGGTTAAAATTGTAAATATGTTTTAATATCTAGAATAAACAATGATTTAATTTCATGTTGACTTTTTTGGGACAATACAACATCCTTAACTTGAAATTTTTGCAGCACAATCATAGAGGATTATTTTTGCAAAAATACTGAGGGGGAGTCATTAATTTTCCCGAGGACCTGTCTTAATCTAGATGGTGCCACCATTGTCTCTTACCTGCTCTACTCTAGCTGCCTTCTGGCTGAAGTCCTGACTTCCACCTTTACGAGCCTTAAGCAGTTTTTCACACTGCAGCAAGAGAGATCTTAAAATGTAAATCATCTCACTCACTTGCCTACAACCTTTTAGATACTAAAATTTAGTGATTTCTTATTGTTCTTAAAATAAAATCCAGTTCCTTGTCATGGTCTACAGGCCCATCTTGACCTGTCCACTTGATTGTGCCTTTCACTATACTTCCTGCCACCATCCCCACCCAAATTATGTTCTGGCAACATTGTTCTTTTAGTTTGTTGAACACCCCTAGTTCTTTCATGCCTGCAGGACTCTGCATGCTTTTCCTTCTACATGGAACACTTCTCTTCACTCTTTGCGCATCCAGCTCCTTTCAACCTTTAGATCTCAGCTTCAGTGTCACCACTTCTGAGTGCCTTTCCCTGGCCACTCATCTCCGTGATTATTTTCTTCATAGTACTTATCACAATGTGAAGTTATTTTATTTCTCTGATAATTGGCTTTTGTCTCTTTAGTAGGGAAGGAAGAAATATTCCTCTACCTTTCTAGGTTCTTCTGGCTGGTCTAAGAATTAAATCATGAGACAGAATAATAGGAGAAAATCAAAGTTTAATAACGTGTGCATGGAGGAAACCCAGGAAAACTGAGTAACTTGCCAGAATGGCTGAAGCCACCACCTTAAATACCATCTTCAGCTAAAGACAAAGGAGGCTGTTGGGGGTAGTGGTTTGGGACTCCAAAGGGGAGGGCGGTAATTCACATGGAGATGGAAAAGCAAATGTTTCCTAAACAAATGTTTGCCATACCTTGTGAAGACAGTAGACATAGGGAGGACTTTGATCAAATAGGCCTTGCTAGGTTCCTCCTCGTTTACCACACTTAGTTTATATTATACTATAGTTACCTATGGAATTAGCTCCTTCCCGAAACAGACCTTCTGTCTTAAATTCTTTGGGGCATTTAGGCGGGAGGTCAACGTTTCTTCCTAAATCTTCTGTTCTTAAAAATAATCAAGCCAAAGAGGCACAGTTTGAGGGGGGCAAATTCTGGTCCCCCACACTCTCAAGAAAATATATGATCTAAGAGGTTAGGAAGCCTACCTGCCTTGTTCCCTTTTGTATCTTCAAGGTCTATCATAGTCGTTGGCAGGTAGTAGGTATTCAGGTATTTGTTGGTCTAAATAGAGAGAGAAATATCTTTCTAAAAGGTCCCTGAAAAATTCTCCAATCACTAAAAGAGGAAGGGGGCTAATATTTGGATCTCCTGAGTACCAGATCCTGCCAGGCTATCTCTTCCCTTCCATCCCTCTAGCTAGATCATTTCTTCCTGAGATTTAATGTAATGATTTCCTAATGAACTACCTCTAGCCTTTCCCATTCCCTTTCATGTTATATTTACCTGCCCATTTAATCCAATCTTGCCTCTTTCCTGCTCACAACCTTCAATTTCTCCCCACCCTTGACAAGTAATGTCAGGTCTCTCTGGTCTGGCATTGAGGGCTTCCCTGATACATTTTCTTAGGTTTATCTCCCTGGCTTTTAATTTCCTAATAGACCCCTTGTTTCCCTTCCTTCTTGCTTCTGCTCATGTGTTCCCCCTTGATGGGAATATTCCCCACCTCTTAAAATCTAATCCATTCTTCAAGTTGAGGCATGTTCCTATCAAAAGAAATAATGAATATGAAAGGACTGTGCAAATTGAAAAAATTTATATAATTAGTAGCAAGATGGGGTGTGGGACAAAGATAACATTCCCCCTCTTCCCCTAATCTTCTTTAATGTAAAGAACAGCATGTTAGCTACTAGCCATATGTGGCTGTTGAGCAGTTGAAATGTGGCTAGTCTGAATTGAGATATGCTGTGCATGCAAAATACACACTAGGTTACCAAGATTTAGAATGAAAAGTAGAATGTAAAATATCTCAATTTTTTATATTGATTACATATTGAAATGATAATATTTTGGATATTGGATTAAAATATTTTATTAAAAATAATTTTTCCTGTTTCTTTTTACTTTTTTAATGTGACTGCTAGAAAATGTTAAATTACGTACTTGGCTTGCATTTATGGTTCATGTTACATTTCTGTTGGACACTGCTAGTCAAGAATGAAGACATTGGCCTAGCACAGAAAAGGCATTCAGTAAATATTTGTTGAACAGATGAATGAATGGTCTTTGTAACAGATAATATTAATACAGGGTGTACTATGTTAGGCACTGTCCTAAGCACTTTCCATTTATTAGTTCATTTAATCCTTACAGCAATAATAATAATAGCTAACATTTAACATAGCTCTTACCGTATACCAGGAAATGTTCTAAGTGCTTTTCAGGTATTAATTCATTTAAACCTCAACCTTATTAAGTGGGTTCAACTATGATTCCCATTTTACAGATGAGGAAACTGAGTCATAAAGTGCTCAAGTGACTTGCTCAAGGTCACACAGCTAGTAAGAAGCAGGGCTGAGATTACGACCAAGAGTTTGGCTCTATAGTTTGTGCTCTTAACTCCTGTGCTATAATGCTTCTCCACGCATAAGCAAAGGTATTGAAATAGGAGGATATAATCCAATGTGGTACTCCTAGTACAGAATGGGAAGTGGTTTCTGAAGACTATTTGAATGTATCTCAGTTTTCTCAAAGTTGCAAAATAGCTTCCCACAGTTTTTCTTTT